TGGTTTCTTTCTTGGTTAAATAAGTGAAGCAGCCTTGACACCGGCGTCTTAGGCAGGCGCTGGACCACGGCTGGGGATGAGGGTCTTGGTGTCGAGGATGGGAGCTACCTGGGCGAGGCCAACGCCCAGGAGGTGCCTCCCTGAAGTGCTTCCTGCGCAGACCGAACAGCCGTTCTTCTCCGGGAGATGTTCTCAAGTTGGTCTCCCTTGTCTTCTGCCACTTGTGGAGGAGATGTGATGGCAATAGCAATAGCAATAGTTAGACTTATATACCGCTTCATAGGGGCTTTCAGCCCTCTCTAAGTGGTTTACAGAGTCAGCATATTGCCCCCAACAACAATCCGGGTCCTCATTTTACCCACCTCGGAAGGATGGAAGGCTGAGTCAACCTTGAGCCTGGTGGGATTTGAACAGCCAAACTACTGAACTGCAGTCAGTTGAAGTAGCCTGCAGTGCTGCAGTTAAATGGGCCAGATCTAAGCCCCTGCCCATGGATCCGGCCCACGGGCCTTGAGTTTGACACCCCCGCCCTGTTCCCATAAGCGGAGCCTGTTTGCCTGACTTGTTTTTCCTTCGTAGGAGAAAGCCAGGGAGAACTATAGCCACGAACTCAACTGGTGCATCAGCTTGATTGCGGATTACAGAATTAGAGTAGGTAAGATGGAAAGGCCCAAGGAACTCTTTAAAGCCCATCCTAAATTTATGAGGGTGGGGGAATCTTTTTGCAGCTTGGTCAACTTTTCCTGAATTTTGCAGCTGCAGTGTTCCAACTAGCTTTACAGCCGGTCCTCGACTTACAACAGTTCATTTTAGTGGCCGGTCATTTTTCACACTTATGACCATTGTAGCATCCTCATGGTCGCGTGATCAAAATATGGGGGCGGCCTGGCAACTGACATGTATTTCTGACAGTTGCCGTATCCCAGAGTCGCGTAATCACTATTTGTAACCCTCCCAGTTGGCATACAACAACCGAGGTCGATGGGGGAAACCATATCACTTAACGACCGTATGATTCACCTAACATTTGCAGTGATTTGCTTAACAACTATGGCAACAAAAGGTCGTAAAATGGGGCACAGCTAGTTTAACAACTGCCTTGCTTAGCAGTAGAAACTTTGGACTGAATTGTGGTCATAAGTTTCTTTTGCTACCACTGCATTGTCTCCTTTAACTTCTTTGCAGACCTGCCTATTGTCCTCAACTTATGACCGTAATGGAGGCTGCCCATCGAGGTCATAAAGCGGGACCAACACAATTTCACTTTTGCAGCAGTCATTAAGCAAATCGCTGGGTCACTATAGGCATGGTTTGGCGGAAAATTGGAATTAAATGCCAGTTGGGGGCAAAGTTATCGTAAAATGCAGTCACATGACAGCAAGATGCTGCAAACAGCGGGAAATCTGGCCTGGTTTGCCAAATGCCCAAAGTGTGGCTACATGGCTGCAGTGAGAGGATGCCATCGGAATTTTGAATCTGGGCCATAAATAACCGGGTAGGTCCATCAGAACTTGGAACAGTCACTGAAGTGACTGGTCATAAATCAAGGACTATCCTATGGCAGTGGCCCCCAACCTTTTGAGCACCAGGGACCGTTTCTGTGGGGAGAGGTTTTTCTGCGGACCAGAGGGGGCGTGGTTTTGTGTGCTGCCTACATCCCACGGATGGGGCTTCACTTGTTTGCGCGACCCAGTTTCTGGCACCCCATGGCCCAGTGCTGGGGTTTGGGGACCCCTGTCCTACGGTCCATGTTACACAGATGGAAAAACATTCAATGAAGTTTTAGAAAACTTCCAGGTCAGAAATTGTGGGGTGGCTTCCCTGCCTGTACTGAAAGCCAGAGAAATCAATCGGCATTTTTTTCTACTTTCATGACAATTTTCTAGCAAATGTGGGCAATTTTGGTATTCAGGACCTGAATTTCACATTTTAAAAAAAAATGGTTCTGGGGTAATCTGGGGACATTTGCAAGAGGACACTGGCTCAAGTTTCTAGATGCCTTTTTTCAGGGAGTTGTTTTGAAGGGGATAAAGTCCAAATAGTCCTCAACTTACCGCCACAATTGGAATCAGAATTTTTGTGGCTAAGCATGGCGGTGTTTAAGTGAATCACACCTGAGTTTAGGCACAAACAAATTGCCACTGTTGTTAAGTGAATCACACAATCCTTAAACGAATCCGTCTCTGCCCATTGACACTGCTTGTGAGAACCCGAATACATGCCGGTTGTCAAACACCCAAAGTTTGATCACATGACCATGGGGATGCTGCAATAGTTGTAAGTGCAAGGACTGAATCATAAGTCAGGTTTTTCAGCACTGTTGTAACTTCACACTGCCACTAAGGAAATGATTGTAAGTCAAGAACTACCTTTATCAACACTGAGCAAATAAGTTGAGACACTTTGAGTTGATGAAATTAAGATTATAATTAAGATTATATATAAATGGCTCTATGAGTGTGTGTGTGTGTGTTTGAGTGTGTGTGTGTGTGTGTGTGTGTGTGTGTGTGTGTGTTCCAGCATAACTCTAGAATGCCTCAAGCAATTTCAACCAAACTTGATACACAGATGATTTACTCTCTGGAAAAAAATACTGTGGGGGTAAGATACCTCTAACACCCCTCGGGGTGGTGGTGTTCTGTTGAGGTACAGCTTGTTGTGCCTTAAAATGGCTTCTACTGTACAGTGCAGTGGAGTTGCCATGGTAACGGCTTCACAGTATTCTACAAGGGGGCT